ACAGTAAATTTATACTTTATACATAATACTTATGTAGCCACAAAATTAGTGGTGGGTGGTACCAGCAAGTTGCCTTCCATCTAATCAGCAGTTCAAAATTAGTGACAGTGGCAGACAGCCTTAGTAGTTTTGCAATTACAATGGCATGAGAAAAATTAGTGACAATGGGAATCAAACCAAAGAGACCCAAATCATGAAGCATCTCCCCCACATACACACACCCATTATGATTATAGTTAAGCCCAAAGCTATAATATGGGCTATCTGTGCTGTACCCACCATGAGTATCGAAAACCAGTATTTAACATTATAAATCTTCATATTTACTGCTATGCCATTGGGGAGGGGAAACCACAAATTATGTAGCTTTGTGCTTAACAACAAACATAAGGACAATATTTCAAATATCTGGATATTTGGAACAATCGAAAACAGTAACTACTGAAAACCCTAATTCATTATTTTCACAACAATAGATTTAATCGTAATTTCGATTGTTGGAATAATCTAAAACGGGAATAATTGGAAAAACTAATTTTGACTAGTTGATTATTTTATTTACAATCAATTTAATCGTAATTTCGATTAACCAGCTGTTGAAATAATTGAAAACAGTAGTAATCAGAAACAGTAATATTAATTAATTGATAAATTTTGTGACATTAATCATAATTCTGATTAGCCAACAAGTTTATGGGACAGTAGTTGATGCAGTTGCTGCTCATAGGTAATCGACTAAGTTGCCTAACCCTAGTTTCCAGATGCTGTAATTGAACAAAATTGCTTGTGCTAATAACAAATCATAGAAACAAGAACAAACTTTCTATGAGCTGCAAATTAAATTAAATAATATATTTGTATTGATAGTTTGTATTCAGAGGTTGTAATTGGTGGAATATGCTTGTGCTTTGAATTCAAGAATTGATTCTGGGCTGTATACAACACAATTCCTTGAAAATGTAGGGTATTAAAAAAACATGAATATTTAAATACCAAGTTTTGAATTGAAAATTAGCTAAAAAATATTTTTTTCATATATTCATTTCATCTCTAAAGAAAATCTTAAGTTGAATTCTAGCATTACCACCATGTACAGTCCTTTATAGGACCTACCTGAAAATAGCAGTAGATTAGCAGCTGAAACACGGGGTATAGTTAGTAATAAGTATCTAGTAATACAAAAAATAAGACTAAGTAATTAATACCTTGTGCACAGGGTTGGTCCATTGAATGGAGTCCATATTGTATAAATAATGTTCACTATAATTTCTGAATTTACTTTTGTTAGTGTATCTTCACAAAATTTGGTACACTTTTAGTACACATTACATGTATGTTGTACATAAACATCAAAATATTAAATAAAGTATTTCTACTGACAATTTCTCACTGAATTTAATCTAGTCAGTTTCATGTCAAAATTAAAAATACTTTTTATCATCTTACAGTTTTCAAATTTCATTTTCATAACCTCTAGAATCTCCTAACTAAATATCAAGTTTTTTTTGTAAACCTATATATTTCATCTGGTATTTTCTCTACCTTAACACTATTCAGACTTAATTCATTTGACTGACCTTGTACCCATTACAAAAACATTGAATAAAATTACCCGTTTTTCTTCCTAGAAAAACTACGGATTGTAACAGAAAATTTACAATTATTTATCCTAAACAGCCTAAGTTTTGTAACAGTTTACATCTGTTTTTATTAAATTTTATTCTTTTTCAACCATATCTAGCTACTAAACCTGCATAACAAAGGTATACATCACCTGTCAAGTACATAGTTCAAGTTATGATAAACAAAGTATTGAATTACATAACATACAAGCAGTTCACATGCATACCTTGCTGGGATTTTTTTTTAATTTTTTCTTATCTAACCTAGTAAGTTTCTTGTTTTTACACTTTAGTTACTTTTATAACAATAGAAAAAACATTGATGCAACCTCAGCAATAGCAAAAGAAACTACAGGCTGCATAATTCAAACTTATTGTGAGAGTGAGCTAGCCTTATACAAAAATCAGTAAAATGAAATCTCTTCTTTCTATTGTTTAAATACTCAAATAATAAATGTCGGAGAGAATTATAAACATTTTTTGAAAGTATGTAGTAGAAAGACATGGCACATGAGTATGACTTTCTGCTTTACACCTGCATAAAGGAAGAAAATTAGATTGTCTTAGCAATATCTATATCATGAACGTGTAATTCATATTAAACTCAAAGCTCATATATGGGTAATAAGAATATCTAAAATGGGCAATTCGGAACAAACAAGTATCAAGTATGAATTTAAATACTTCAATTAGATTTTGAATGTATATTTGTAAAAAGGTTGTGACACACACAGTTTAACCCATGTACATAGGATTAATGATTAGAAATGACAACCGTTTCTTTCAATACGTCATGCTCACAGACTTCAAACAATTATAAAACATCATTTAAACTATTAACTTAAAGCAAACAAAAGTTTTGGTTTTAAGAGCTATTTTTGGAAGGAGCATCAACGATGCAATTATTACATATATCACATGACCATATCATAAGCATAAATGTCACTACCACTTTTCTCTATGAAATCCTATAAAATAGATTTAACACATATAGGTGTCACAACAGCACAATTAGTTTGCTCTGAAAAAAAGTATCAATTATCTTACTATAATACAGAAAAATTAACAGATAACTATAGTACAGCTGCTAATTAGCTCAATTAATCAATATAATTGATTGCCTATGAGCACCGATTACATCAATTAATTTCATGTATGATATTCAATTAATCAAAATTACACTTACATTTCACGAAATTAAGTTAATTGACAAAATTAGTATTTACAATTATTCCAACTTATCAAAATAATGCCATTATGATTTCTCATATGATTAATTTCAGGTTTAGTTTAACCGATTAGTGTGTCAACTCATAAAAATAATTAGTTATAAAAATTAATGTTTTTGATTATTACTATTTACAATTATTCCAGCTATTCTAGTAATCAAAATATTAGATATTACTACTTCCATTGGCATGACTATGTCTTACAATATGCATGCATTCTGCTTGTACACAACTCACAAATATGAGGGTGTGGCCTAATGGTTACTTAATTAGCTAGTGACGCCTATTGTTTGTGTTTACTCTGTATGTTTAAATAATAGTGTACCTTTAATTTCATATTTTACTTACTTATTACAAGCTAGTAGCATAATCAGTGTTACTTAAGATAAAACTGCTTTAATAAAAAAAGTTACAGCAAGTTGATACTCATCATTCTTTATTTGCTCAAAACAAGTATTGTTTGCTGAATAACTTGTTCATTTCACTGTTATTGTTAGAAACAAATAATCATGGACTAATAACAGTGAAACAATATGCAATACTGTTAAATCATTAAGCTTCTTACACAAACAATAATCTTACTTAATTCAACTAAATCTAGTTAGATATAATGCCCTGAAAGAGAAAGCTATTAACACTGCCTAATATAATAAGCTTCAAGTTGTATTACACAGGCCTGAAATGGTTTTATTGCTTGAAATTTTTACATGTTCTACAGTAATTCCTGTATGCTGAATCCAAAAATGATATCCATTTTTCTCCATCACTTACAGATTTTTCATAAAACATCACAACGCAACATATAAAAGAAGGACCACAACACGTAGTTTGAGACTAAAAGATGTAGATTTCACAAAAAGAATAAGGATGAATGAGGATGCATATTCATTTGACCTCAATGTTCTTCCCTTGTCTTCAGTTTGTTTGTATTTTTGTTAACAAACATAATATTAAAAAAATGTTCATTGCAGTAAATGAAACAATTTGATCTAAGAAAGTGTTTTTTTCTTTCCAATTTGTAAAATATCCTTAAGTGATAGAAAAGAAAGAATATCATTTTCAAAATCTGCATAACTGAAGTATAGAAAAATCTGTTATTAAAACCAAAACAACTTTTGTGAAGTTTAAATTCACAGGCCTGTGTTATTAATTGATTTCTCAGTTTACAAGCATGTTTCTACAGTTTTTTCCCACCTCTACTGTAAAATGTATTTTTTTTTAACTTTGCTTAAAAACTTTATATTTTTAATGCTTATAAAATTATTTTTCCAAGTTTTCCACACTGATGATGCAATTAAAAAAATATGCAAAACTTGTTATTAAAGACTTTTCATACTACCACGATTTTAATATTTTCTATACTGCTTCAATATCCACCTTATAAATCATTTTAATATCTGCAAAGAATTCACCTCGTATAATAAGAAGTTTTCTTACTGAATAGTAGATGTTATACTGTCTTTGTTTTCATTTTTGTTGAATCGAAGTGTATTTGTTACCACTAAATTATATATTATCTATCACACAATGTGACAAAAATCTTACTAGTTTCATCACATGAAATATAATTACACTCATTTTAATGGAAAATTAGGTTTAGTAGAGTAATTGTGTGAATATTTGGGAAACCACCCAAGGAACAGTATTAATCACATTTCAGCTTGTTACAGGTTTTATACTACATTGTATATGATAAGATGAAAGAAGCAACTTAATCCTAAATTGTTGTACCTTAAGATGTTTATCATATTAAATGAACAGTAGTTCCAAAATCTCTTTAAAAAGACCCAAAACAAACCAAAAATAGGAAGATTAATCTCATATTAGTTGAATGTAATCAATTAATAAGCCTAACAATTAATCAATCAGCTATTTCCACTAACTGCCCAGCTCTAGATTTGGATATAGATAAAATAAAATCAGCATTTAAACACATTCACTTGAAACACGTTTTTAAGAATTTATTTACAGATTTAGTATTAAGTTTAGTTATTTTGTAATGTTTCTAAATTTTTATCTCTAAAATAAGTCAAGTGATCCTCCCATGTCACCATTCTAATTTTCTAAATCTGACTTGCTACACAGAAAAAGTGTAATTAAATGTTTGTTAAAAAATAAGACTAAAGAAAACAATAACTTTAAAACAAACCTTGTTAATTAGATGTTCCGTGACCACCTCTCTTAGTCCTGTGTACAGTCTTTCTCCATGTTTATGTAACACCATTGTATATGCATTTCTATACAGCTCTTCAAAACTCAACCCACTGTTGTTCTTTTTCTGAATTTCCTGAATAGCATTTTTTAGAAGAGCCCATATGTTTTGTACATATTTCTCATCCATAGTCATCTACAAGGCAGTATATTAAATATACATAACAATCTTACTAGCCCTATATATAAAAACATAAAAAATTGTACAATTCTATGATGTACAATCTTCATAAATAAAAGAATCTTAAACAAGTTAATAAATTGAAGAAAATAATAAATGTATTTTCTAAATAACTGAAGACTATGTTAATGATACAATAGATCATAAATTCTGGTAAGGCTAATTTTAAATAAAACTATTACCAATTAATGGCAAAAGGGTCACATTTAAAAACACAGAAGACAAATGTTTAGAAAATAAAATACAAGAAAATGGCATTAACAAAATAATTACTACATGTGGTCATAAGCTGTCACTCCTCAAACTCTGAACAAAAGTTTTGAAAAGAAGACAATAAATCTATAATGTAAAGATATGTTTTACTTAGTTTTTTTCAACATCTTTAAAAAATTCAAAATATTTAGAAAAACAGGAAAAAGCTAACACAAGAAATAAAGTCTAATGGTTATTCATTAGCACTGAAATGAGAGCCTGCAAAGGTTCTTTCCATTAATTTTTCAATGGCTGGTAATTCTCATGGTTAGTGTCAAAAGTGCTACCAAGCACCAAAGCTGTGAAGACATTCCTAAGGTGATAGTCCAGGTCTGGGGCAAGCAAATTGAATTGTAGAAATGTACGTGTAGAATAACCAAAATGTGCATAAAAATTATACATTTGGACTTTTTTGTATGCAAACTAGTGATATTTAACAACTTTTGTTAAATTTGGAGTACCAGGAGCAATTCCCAGTGTCGGGTACATCTGTTTGATACCAACCATTATGGGCAAAACCCTGCATATTAATTAAAAATCCAGAGATAGTTTTTATACAAATCACTAGTTAGGCCTCAACTACATATTGCAAAGAGTTTTTGTCTTTTTATTTAAGAAAGGATAGTGACTTACCAGATGGGTTCAGATTAAAGCTACTTTGATGATTCTGAAGATGAGTTATCTTATGGAGATAGGTTATGATCTCTTTAACAAAAGAAGGGAAAGATGTGATTTTATTGAAGTTTACAAGATTACCTGGGGGGATTAATAGAATAAAGGCATCTGATTTCTTTTTGACAAATTCTGAAGAGAATAGGAGAAGATACAAGTTCAATATTAGAAAACGCATACAAGGCTCAAGTTAAAATAGTTATATTTTTCTAACAGGGTGATTAGTTTGTGGAATGAACTGCCATTAATAGTAGTGAAGAATGGCATCTTACCAGAGTTGAAGAATGGAATGAATGGCTTCTTGAAAAATAAAAGGTGGGTTTGATTTTCTATTTTTCTTAAAAGTGGGTGTGTAAGGACAGCTTTAAAGGACCAGATGTTCATTTGCTATTTGTATGTTATAATGAACACTCCTTAGGTCACCCAACCCTTCCATAGACAGATGGTATAGTTAGTTCTGAACACTGACTCAAGAGAAAACATTCTGTTGAACGGAAGCAATACTGTGGCCATATAAATTGTGGATGACTTGCAAAAGCTTGATCTGAATTGATACAGTGTAAATTAGAGAATCCTGGAATCAAATCCAAGCTAAAAGAAGATCTTTTTCATCCTGAATTTTTTTTAATATTATGCAAGCAAATACAAAATAAAATCTGAATATATAACTCTTAAGTTTTGTTTCACAAGGAGTTGGCTTTTTATAAGCAGTGGTTCAAGTTCGTGAACCTTTTAAATTTAAAAATGCTAGATGCTAACATAGTACATATAGCAGTTTAAAGGGCTAAAAACACAGTCACATAATTACTATCATCTTTAAGATAATGGTTGAGAGGATGAATTCCTATGTGAACATTATCAATTTGAAGGGAATATTTTTAGTTATTTCTGTCAGTAGCATTCATTGATCTTATATGTGCCTATGTGGTATTTGCATGCAATTCATATTTGGCTTATTCTTTTCTTACTATATTTTGTAATCAGATCTCAATACCTTACATCAGCTTGTTGAAAATTTGATATTTTTTTTACTTTGAAAAACATCATTTTAAGTGTGATTGAAAACATGATTTATATAAAACATATCATATTTTATGATGTTCAGAACATGCCCTGATGGGAGCTTGAGCCTAAGACTCTCAGCTCTGAGGTTGATGCTACTTATCAATGTTTTTTTAATTCACTTCTAAGTTTTTATCTATTTGGTACGTTTTCTTTTTTTATGTACTATAGTCACTTACATACAACCCTGATCATTTTTTACTTCAGAAAATATTAAATCAATTTTTCCATTTGTCTCCTAAATATTCCTTATATAATATGCTATTTCAAGCACCTTCAAATTTTCACACTATAATGTCTGATGAATGATACTCCCTATAAGTCTGGTATGGGGACTATGATTATACATGTCAGATTTTGTAAATATATTCTTAAAAACATAATCTAGCGATCTTTTTATCTCACATTACTAGCTTAAGTATCATAAAAACAAGAGGGAATCCTCAATAGCTGTGGCTGTAATTAGATCTCAAATCGATCAAGAGATGGAGCTATGAACTAAAAATTTGTTCTTGAAAAAACTCGGAGCCATTCTAGAGCTGCTATACAGCGGTTAACAACAATGGATATATAAATTGTTTTGTAGTTTCAATATTTATTAACAAAAATATTTGCAAGTAGGAAAATTATTAATTCACAAGTTGACATCAATTTCTATTACACAACAGAGTGCAACAACAGTTTATTGGTATTTGCAAAATAAAATAATTTTAATTATCTATCATAAATGGTCAAGTGTTCATTTTTTTATTTTTCAAAAATTCTTTTACAGTATTACCAATATATATATAATTTTTATACAAATGTAGCCTCAACTATTATCGAAAAATTCAGTACTGTAAAGTAATATCATATCTTGTATATTTCAAAAATTTCAGATGTTAGTTCTTTATAATAATGGTTTTGAATTTTTAATATCTACTTATCTACAAAGCATACAAAGTGGTCGCAAGTAATTTTGTCATCATTCAGAACTTTTAATAAAAATTAATTAATGGGTGGATCTTGACTTCAATATATGATGACCATGAATTTTGACTGTGGTGACTTTAGAAACAAAAATGGTGAACATAATTAACTTAAAACGCATTACCTCTTACATTCTCTGAAGAAAATTATAATTTATGTTCTATACTGACATTTTAAATAACTTTTCTTCAGCCACCAGTTAGTCTAAACTTATTATGAATAGTCAAAATTTAAGTCTCTGCTGTTTAAAGTAATGTAAACATATTTTCAAAAAGTTTTATACCTTTTGTAACATTTTAACATACTCACTAGCATACTACAAATTTCTGTGAATAAGTATTCAAAATTCTGATTACATGCAGTTGGAAAAATTTTCAAAATTCCTTAGATTTACTATTTAAATTATTATCACAGTCTTATTATTGAAAAAAAATAGCTCCATATATTATAATTCTGAATAGTTCAATGTTTAACTTGGAAAATGTATAGTTATTTTAATATGGATAGGTTAAGGCTTCTTAAATTATTTCTTCTTAAGAAAATTAATGGTAAGAGGCGATCTTATTGAAGTTTACGCAATTGTCTAGGGGAACGATAAGATAAAGATCTGTTTTTTTTCTCTGTATTCTGAAGATTACAGGATGAGAGGATACATGTTTAAGAGTGGAAAAGACAGGCTTATGGAATGATTAGCCTTCAGTCGTAGTTGAGCCTGGCACCTTACAAGACTTTAATGGCAAAAATTGATTAATTTTTGGAAAATAAAGGTATGTTTAATTTTTTCCTTTTCATCAGAGGCGAGTGTGCAAAGACAGTCACAGACCAAATAATTCTTTGTTATTCACACATTTATGCTACTTAGCTAGACCTTTTTTCAGGTTTACTTAATCTGCATATTTCTACTTGATTGTTTTTGGTTTTTTTAGTTGCTTCAATATTTATTGCTATCTTGTTTTAATATAGCTTTTTGACAGAATCGCACTGCTTCACATTGGTTGGGTATGGAGTGGCTTATTTTTGTTGTAAATTTGGCAATCCTGCCTTCCTTGAAGAGAAAAATTTATTCATTAACCTTTATACAGTTACTCAATAAGTTTTTAACCATAGAGATTTGCCATATCAACCAACATTTTATTTTCAATTAATCATTGTATCAGGAAAAAAACATACAAATAACTATTACTTTAGCTTCTGTAAATATAAATTATTTCCTAATTCATAATTGACCTTGAACAAATACTTTAAAGATCATGTGAAAAACGAAATTTTAAAACATAAAATATGTATAAAACTGATTACGATGCATTTCACAGCTTACCACAACAAAAAGTTATATATACTCTCATTGAGTTTCATTACGATAATAATTATGTCTATTTACATTTGTAATCAACAATGACACATGATGAGAGATTATAAGTTTAAAACATGAATAACAATAAGACATTGCATAGAGATTTTACACTTGTGTTCATGGGAAGGTAAATCATTCTACAGATCGTGTTTAATCCGCATAAATGTTATATACTATACAATTTGATATCTTATAAATCACTGTTATAAATATCACTTTGACAAAAGCTTTGCATGTTGCATGCCCAACCAACTTGATTAGTTCTAGTATTGGGTGAATGACCTCATCAGCAGCAGGTTAAACCAAATTGGGACAATATAAAAATCATTAAAAATTAATATCAGTTTTATTGTGATGTAATATAACACACACTTCTAGAAACTGATCATTTCTATTTCATCCAATTGTACAAATCTAGTTGTAAACTTTTGAATTGCTTACTTCATCTTTTTTTAAGATTCTTTCTTTAAAAAAATACTCGTTTTTATACCCGGTCTCAATATAGATTACCACTGAGAATATAAACAATTATTACTTATTAAGCATGACTTTACACAATAATTGAACAAGTTACATGTGCAAGCCACAAAGAAATCAAATAAACCAAACATTTTTGGAAGATAGATCTCAAATCTTGATTCTTCAACTTCAATGGTGAATTCATATTTGAGGAAATATCTACCTTCCAAACAAAAACAAGAGCTGAAGTTCATGAGCATCTGCAGGGAATGGTAAAGGGGGACAGTTGCCCCCCAGTAAAATGAGAAACATCATTCTTTATTCATTCAGTAGATATATGTATATAACACACACAATACCCCCTGGAGAAATTTATGTGGACTAGTCTAATGTTCAAGTTATCAAATGTCTCATTTGTGACTTGTCAGTTTTTTATCCTAAGCGATTTATCAATCTCAGTTTCAAGAACTTGAAGATTGGAAAGAGTCAAGAGCAATGCAGTACCAATAGAGATTACACTTACAGTTGCAAATTTGAATAGGAGTATGACTGTATCAAGTTTATAAGCTCCTTGGCATGACCTGTTACACTTTAGCTAACCCTAATTTTACTTTTTGCTTTATATATATCTGTATCTAAGCCTTTTTTGGTTATTACTGGCTAACTTTGAATTAACATTAGAACTGCAACAATGAATAGCATAATAATTAACTGTCAATAAGTCTTACAAAGTTACAATAAACTAAACTTTATAACGCACGTAGTAAGACTAATAGTAATAATAATATATACTCTATAATAACACTAACAGAGCACAAATGACAAAGTTAAACTTGCCAACTACTTACAGGAAATGCTCTTATTCTCATTTTAGTATCTTTCTTGCCCGATTTCAAACTCATTTTGCTGTTTCAAAAGCGTCTAAACTTGTTTATAATATTCAAAATGCATACAGCGTTTTTAAAAACTTTATCGGGCTGTGGGGTAATAATACTCTTGATTGTCCCTTACTGACCCGAGTCAAAGCGACGTGTAACCATGAGAGTAAACTAAAGTCAGCGTTTACTGCCACACTTCACCGTTCTTTTCGTTTCTCAGCTAGGACTATCGACCGAAAGCTCAGCATCTAACTGTAAATATTTTACCTTCCGACACGAAAAAGTGTACAGAAAGATATATTAACTAAGGCGCAAAATGTTTATTCAAAATCGAATAAACTGGATACAAGATAATATATATCTACATATTTTCAAATCCAAGCAGTTCAATGTCTAAGTATTGTGTTCTTGAAATATGTAAAAGGCGGTTTTATACAATAAAACAAAGCACGTAGCTGCAGTTTTTTATTCAACTGTAATAGTAAATTTTGCATCCTTTCAACTAAAAATTTTGATTCTTCATTGTCTTAGTATATTTGTTTAATTTATGGCAAATCGTAAAACATTTTTAAATGTCCATAGTTTTATATTTTACATAATTGATACATGTCAATGTTAGTATGGTAATATTGTTGGTATAACAGCTATACTCTAATACTAAAACCATTGTGAAACAACAATAATTTTCTAAACTTTGTTACAAAGGTATGTTACGACAGACTCGAGAAATAGAACATCCAAAGCAGTTTAATAAATTAACGTATATTTTCGTATCCATTAGATTTTATACTAGATTCGATGAGGCCGCAATGGTGAAACGTAATTTGAAACAAAACATTTTTTTATGATTCTCTGAACAGTAAGGGGTTGTTTTGTTTTTTCTAACTTTCCTTCCAAAATGTAACATTTACACCGGACCTAATTGGTCTTGGGAATAACGGCAATTGTACACTAGACATTTGAATAATTCTAACGTCACATTTACAGTAAAAAATGCTTTATTACTTTAGTTTGAACGAAGTCACAATAAGATGTTGAATAGTCAGGAATACGAAATTCGTTCGATTTTTAAAGAGCATTTTTATCTATATACATACGTACATGTGTGTGTGTGTGTAACATCTTTTGAGACCATCATTTATTTTTACTTGTGGTTCTTCATTCTCTGTGTGATGTATTTTCGACTATTTTGGGTCATTGAAACTGTGATATGGTATATATAGGTCAAAAGCTGATATTACGTTAATTACACCATGCACAGGTAAATAAAGATATTGCTCATAATACTGTTACGCCTCTGTTCGTTAGTTAATTTTCCATAAATTCTGGAGACGTCTTGAATGGGTAATGAAGAAAAACTTTAGTATAAGTTTAACATAACAGCAAATGTACAAAGTTTCGACAAGTTTTTGTCATCATCAGGTACAAACATTTGCTGTTATGTTAAACTTATATTAAAGT